AAATTTAGGTACGAAGGAGAACATTCCTAATTTAAGATAACTTGGACTCTAATTTTTCTGTTTTTGTAGAGTCCGATATGTAATTTTCCTGGCGCCAACCGTAGTTTATCATCGCTATCTGCTGATGTCACCCTAATATATCCGATTCCAGAGTTGTATTTGAATCGGCTGATATCGATCTTTCTTGACTGGCACAACCTTGAAAGCCTGTGAGTTCCCGCGTTCCTTCTCCCAAATTTTGGTGTAAACAGAACGTCGCCGTGCATCTCCGTACCACGCCCGCCGTCGATAGGCATGGCCACGGGCTCACAGCGCTCCACCAAGGTCATGGCAGTGCCTCTATTTCCCTTGTCCTCCGAGGCACTCATGTCGTCACCCATCTCTGTCGGCTCCTCCAACTCGAGCTCCGCCTCCACGTTGCTCCAGCTCTCGCCACCCTAGACCCACTGGTTGATCTCCTTCTCCTTATGAAACCGCCTTCGAACCATCTCGGCTTTCTTCTTCTTCTTAGCAAGCGTAGCCTCCCTCTAGGCACCTTGCCGAACCGCATCTTCTAGCCCTCTCAGAAGATGTAGCCAGGATTTATAACATGCGAGTCCCTTCGAAATGGGCAACTCGAAATCAATCAAAACATCAAAACAAGGAAGAAAAGGTCACAGGAAAAAAGCATACCAAATTGGATAGCTTCATGGCATTAAGGGGTTCGGGCGTCCCTTTGAGGGAGTCTTCATCCCTCAACTGCAGTGCCCGACCAAGATAACCCTAGACTTCATCTTTCGACAACTCCTCCAGCGACGCTCGGTCAGGATCCGTCGGGCCGAAGTATTCCCACATCGGCCGCATCCTTTCCCCTAGCTTGGCATCCCGGCGGTGGAAGAAGATGTGGAAGACCCACAACCCGTCGAGGCCATTCTGCACGAGCTTCTGAAGCTCCGGCTCGATGATCGCCAGCTTTTTCTGTTGATGGGAAGGACCCCACATCCAACTTTCCCTCTTCTTCGGCCTCCCCCTAGTAAACATCGGGAACGGCTCCTCCACTAGGTTCCTGATATAGAACCATTCGCCATGCCACCCCTAGTTGGAGTCACTAGGGGAGTACGCAGGGTAGGGGACCGATGGCTTCGGCCTCTTCTGTAGGGTAAACACCCCAACCTGTGCGGTTCTAGGTGGTTTCCCCTCGGACAAGGCTCGCTCGATGAAGACTCACCGGAATAGATCCACATGTGGCTCCATCCCGAGGATGGCCTCGTAGATGGTGATGAAGCTGGCGATGTGCAGCACCCCAGTTAGGTTGAGATGCTGTAACTCCAGGCCCCACTCATTGAGGAGGCCGCGCAGAAACCAATGCATGGGGTACCCGAGCCGACGCTCATGGAATGCAAGCAAGGAGATGACCCCGTTGGACCGGGGTCACGGAACAACCTCTCCCGGTGCGGGAGCCCTCCAGTGCTCCACCTCCTTTGATGGAAGCAGCCCCTTCACGACGAAGTCGACCAGCACGGCCTCATCCACATTGGAAGGCCTCTAGTTCCACATTGCACCTCGGATTTATGAACAAATTTGTGAGTTTTGTCTCTCCCTCGCTCTACCCTCCTCTCTTATAGAAACCGCCACGACACACGAACAGACTTGGCAAAAAGGAGAAAGGAGAAACAGCAGTGGTTGAAGAAATGCAAAAGAACGGGAGGAAAACCCTCTCCCTTCCCTCTATTTAATGCGGAAAGGCATGCGGCGGGACGTGGCCCTAGCTGACGGGATGTGGCCGGCCCAACGAAATGACATCTGGCTAACGGGACATGGCCTGGGTAGGGCCCACGACTACCACAACCCCAGCATGGGAAATGAGGCACAACCGCACACAAACAACCCTCTACCTTCCTAGGCAGGGTCTGGAGGGGCCCATCGATGGAATCTCCATCAAGGAGAGGCCAATGGGTCACCCGAGTCAATCGGACGGCTCAGGTGGCTGCCGAGGGATGGGTAAGGAGCAATGGGATGCCCCATGTGGGTTATGCTGACCCCGTCATGAATGATGGACATGGATCCCACTTGGACATACCCGATAGGAGCTCCTTGGACCCGTCACTCGAGCCACCGATGTAACTTTACCAACCCCCATTCTACTTTTCCAGTGCATGAGCATTCATTCATCCATTCTCATGCATACATTCATACATTCAGTCATATATTCATCCATACATTCAAGCATTGTATATGCAATTGTTGCATCACAACGCTTTGCGTTGCATCACGAAGCGGTGGTCGTCTCATTCGATATGAGTGACGACCGACCGGGGTTCGAAGGCGGCCTACAAAGGGCTTGAGTCTGCCTCGCATCAAACAGAGCCAGGGGAGAAAACATAGATGAGCCCCAACGGCCCTCGCCCGATCTGCTCAGAAGCGGATAGGGTCATCTCAACCTTCTCGTTCGATCCTGACCTCGAGCCATGCCCATAGAATCTCCATCGAGGGGAGGCCAGTGGGCCATCTGAGTCGGTCTCTGGACCGGCTCGCGCATCTACTGAGAGGCGGGTTAAGGAGAAGTGGAGTGCCATATTAGGGCTATGCCGACCCCGTCATGAACAACGGATCCGAATTCCACTCGAACATACCCATTAACAAGCTCACTAAAGCTCGCCACTCGAGCCATCGAGTCAAGTGGTGTCAGCTCAACCCCTCTGGTTGCGGAAACCGTGGACGGGGTGACGCAAGAAATCATGTGACCAACCCCTAAGTGGCTCTGGGGCTCAAGCTACTAGGTCCCTACTTAGGAACCCGACCGACCGCGCAGGTTGCGGTCGGAACGGACATGGGCGAACACCCTGACCAGAAGGAACACAAGAGTCCGCGACCCTAGAAAAGAGTGCCAAGGTGCTCAACCTCCGACCGACTCTCCAGCTGGCTGTAGGCTCGGGGGCTATGCCCACCTCCATCTCGCCCGACCCTTGGGTTCACGCTCCGTCTTGCCTGACCCCAAGGCCATGGGCTCCATCTCGCCCGACCCCTTGGCCGCGGGCTCCACCTCGCCTGACCCTTGGGTTCGCGCTCCATGTTGCTCAACCCCTCGGCCGCGGGCTCCGTCTCACCCGACCCTTGGGTTCACACTTCGTCTTGCTCGACCCCTCGGCCACGGGCTCCATCTCGCCCGACCCTTGGGTTCATGCTCCGTCTCGCCCGACCCTAAGGCCGTGGGCTTCGTCTCGCCCGACCCCTCGGGTTCGGGCTCCGTGTGTGAACAGCCCCTTCACGGCTTCACAGAAGTCCCAAATGGGCTCAGGGGCTCCTGTCGGGTTCATAAACCTAGGGTCCTCAATGGACCCGCTTCCCTATAAAACCCGGCCCAGCTGGCAGCGCAGTGACAACGCACGCCTGGGCTAGCCTAGATACATAATGACAGGCCAAGACAATGATCCGGTCCCTGACCGAAAGGCCTGGCCAAGGTAGGACCGTAGTCTGACTCCGACCCCCTTCTCCGACCAAGGATACGCCAGACCTTTGCTCGCTGCTCTTTCCCGATTGACACGAACAGGACAGACTGGGAACGACTGACCGGGGACGCCCGCTCGGTGAGGGCCCAGGGATCAGGCGGAGCAGATAAGGTAAGGTGCTCAAGTCAACCGCAATACCGAGGACCATACCCTACCATGCTCTGCGCACCTACAGGACGGTGACACCAGGTCATGCCAGACGGGTACTACACAACCTTCCAGACGTGTCAGAGCACAAACTGTATTGTAGGTGTCGATGTTTGCCGTACCAGGCGAATTCGGTAGAGCCTGCCAGATGCGTCTGAATATAAATAGTATTATGGGCGCCGACGACTGTCTCATACCCGACAGCGTGGGCAACAAGACTAGGTAGCACATGTATACACTCTCTCTTTCTCTCTAACTTGTAAGGCCATCCCTTTCAACTATAAAAGGGGATGCGCTCTCTCCCAACAGAGGGGTTGGACGACTCGAGGACTTGACGACCTACCTCTCGCATGCGAGCTCCCGTCGGCGGTGAGCGAGCTCTGCGATGGTGTGAGATCCCACCGGCTAAGCGCGAGTGAGGTCTGCCAGGCATGAGATCCGGCTGCGCAAGGTCCCGTCGGTAGCGAGCAAGATCCACCGCGCAAGGTACCGCCGGCGACGAGCGAGGTCTGCCGAGTGAGAAGAAGGCTTCGCGCATGGGATCCCGGGTGCCGATAGAAACCATTGCCCCCTCCACAACACAGTTTCGGGTGGTTTCGTTTGCTTCGATGCTCGTGAAGACTCGATTTCTAAGTTAGAATCAGTTTCTCCATTTTCTCCCCTCTCTCTTCGTTAAATTGCTCACCATATTAGTAAAATGCCTACATGGTAACCTAATTAATAGGGATAGAAACTATGGTAGTTTTTGCGTTGGCAGTGCCCTTAGGGCAGTCTCAATGAAAGAAACCATAACAATTTTTATGACATAGGATACCACACTAAAAAACTATTCTTTCACAATGCAAAATTTTCTAATCTAAGTCAGCAAATTGATGAGTTATCAGTGTAATTAAGAGGGATAGAAACTACTATCAATGTCTCATTTGGACTACCCTTAGAGCAAGGCTAATAATACAGCCAGTTGCTGGCTGCAAGGATCCTTACAACCTACCTTCCGGCCCACTCGTATAGTAGTTACCTCTTCTTATTAATATATGGCCCACTCGTCTCTCTCACAGGGTTTCTTAGTTCTTGTGTAAACCGTCTATAAGCTTATAACCCGCTTCTCCTCTCTTTCCTCTTCTCTCTACTCCACCTCAGCATTCAGCCTTCTTTCAGCCATCTATTATACTTGCTCTTAGCACCTTGTAGGACAAAAAATCATTAGCACGACAGCCTGGTAGAAGTGATTAGATAATTGATGTGCGTTATTCTGGAAGCAAAGCGTCGTCCGCTTTAATTAATGGACCAAAGAAGAGACGTCCGTCGTTTCACATACCGGAGACTGAGAGGAGATATTTGAACGTCGCGCGCGGTGGTTATAAAATGGCACCGTTCTCCAACCCCCCACCTCTTCCACTCCAGGTCTCCCTGCAGGGCTCTCCAGCGGAAGCAAGAGAACGCCCACCGATCCAAGCGAGAAGCACTCTTCGTCGACTTCAAGCAAGGTACACGAACTGGTTTTTGCCTATCTCTACTACTAGTACTCATACAAATTCCGGGTTCAGGGCGTCGGTGAATCGTATTGTCAGTCACGTAGAATTATTACAGGTTTCATCTGATTTGTTTTGTTGGATCTTAAGATTGATTAGATCGAGAATATTATAATTGTTCATCGTATTTTTGCCAGAAAAAACTTGTTCATCAAGAGAAGGATGGAATATAGTATTAGATAAGAATTCTTGTTATATGTCCTTGCCACAGAATCTAACAAATTAAATTGCTTTACCTTCAAAATAATTTATTTTTCATATACATAAATGAACAAACAAATATGGTCCAAATCGTTTATATCTATATATTGGCCAAACTTTAATTTGTGACTTGTAGATGATTTATATTAATCTTCTTAGGATCTGTTTGATCTTATGATTGATTAGTCAGGTCAAAAGTATTGCAATTGTCAACGTTTTGTTGCCTATTTTTTTCATCTATACAGAACGGCGGTATTACATATATACGAAGTGTTCTTATATTATGTGTATGTCCAGATGTTTGTTATCCATTGGTCAACAATTTTGACAGTAGATCTATCTTCTTTCTTCTACTACCTGTAGTTGTCGACATTTTGCCTATTGCTCTATATAGCCTAAATAAATAAAGCACGACTAAAGAATATGTATGTGCTGTTACTTTTAGCTGCTGGTGGAAATTGTTGGATGCATATTCTGTTTTTCAATTTGATAGATCCATTCTAGAAAACTTAAGTGTGCTCTAGCTTCTGTAATAACTTCAGAGTCTTCTTGGCCAATTATTCGGCGCCGGTTGTCAGTTCTATTCCAACACTAGAAAATGTACAGTTAAAGCAGAACACATGTATGTATATGCACTTTTATCTCTTCAATGTACAGAATTGAGTGAACCATGTAGTTTTAATGATTGCTGAAGATTTAACTCTGCCTACAATGTAGGCTTAGTGCTACACCATGTTTTGTATAGACAATAATGCTTTTACGCAGTAGATTTCAGTCTTGCTTCTACTTTTTTTTATATATATACTATATGTTGCAATCGTTGGCGTAGATTGCCTAAATTAGATAGGAACAAATTAAAGCACTCTATTTGTCTAAAAATTGTGATGTTTGTGTGCTTATTCAGAATGCATATCTTCGTCAAGAGCTCCACGGGCAGGACAATCCGTCTCAGGGTCAAGCCATCTGATACGTTGTCTGCTGTCAAGGCAAAGATCCAGGAACAATACCGCCTTGTCTTTGATGGAGTGGAGCTTGATGAAGACAACCTTACGTTGGCTGATTACAACATCCAGCACAGATCCACGCTTGACCTTGAAGAGAAGATGCAAATCTATGTATTGGAGACGCTATTAGGCACGACCATCACTGTTGAGGTTGACAGCTCAGATACTATTGGTAACGTGAAGGACAAGATTGAATCGACGGAGGGCTTCCCCAAGCATCAACAGTGCCTCCTCTTTGACAACAAACAGCTAGATGACAACCGCACCTTGGCGGAGAACAACATTTGGAAGGAGGCCAACCTTCTCCTTGTCCTCCACTCGTCTCCAAGAGGTACGATGCAGATCTTTGCGAAGACGATGACTGGAAAGGCCCTAACTCTAGAGGTGAACAGCACTGACACTATCGGCAATGTCAAGATGATGATCTATAAGAAGGATGGCACTCGGCCTAAACAGCAACGCCTCATCTTTGCTGGCAATCAGCTGGATGATGACTGCACTCTTGGAGACTATGGCATTCAGAAGGAGGCGACCATCCATGTGGTGCTCTGCCTGTGTGGTTGTTGAGCGAGGGATGCGGTGCGTGGATATTCAACAATGAGTAGTATTTTGCTGTACTCTTCTTTCTTTACAGACGTCAGTATATTGCTGCAGTCTTGTTTCTTTCTTTTCCGCTACTCTGGTGTGTTATCAGTGAAACTTTCACTATGGGAGTAAGTTAACGTGTGAGATGTTATATCAAGAATTAATCAGAATTCACTGTGGCTGGCGTAATAGCTCTTGAGAGGCGTGATCGGCTGAGAAAAAAATTCAGTGAGAGCACCTATGGTACCTACCACAGATTCACAATTTGTGTGTCCATATGCAAGTATTTATATGAAATAAGTAGTTCTTGTATATGGAGTTATTATGGACACCCATCATGAATCTAGAGTAGGTGGCCATGGGTACTTTTTCTCAATCGGCAGTGATCAACACGTTGCTGTATAGGTATATATGCATGGCAGCTGGTAACCGTGGGCAATGCAATGATCCGCTGCACGGCTTGGATGATGAGCCACAGCGATCAGTATTTTGATGAGTACAAGGTTCCATCAATTGCTTCCTTCCTTTGAAGGTGAAAAATTATTGTTCCTCTCCCCCATTGCTCTGTACTGTGCCATTCTTTGATTTGATTCGCATTGCTGCCAGGAAAAACGCCTCATTGTGCCCTGTCATCACATTGCTGAGCCTGTAAAAACTAACGTCTTGATGGATTGGTTCCTTGTGTCATCACTCTGGAGCTGGAGAGGATCGACCTGCACCTATGGATCAATACTTGTATTCAAAAGAGAATGTCATTTAGCTACCGATCTAAATTTGCTTAGTAACTTTTATCTTACCATAATGTCTATTTAAGCATCTACAGAATGCTTTTGACAAACATCATGACCTGTTTATCAGTGATCAGTTCTGAATTTAAGTTTCCCTGAATTTTGTATCTATATTTCTTGCATGAGAGATGGTTGCCCCCCGATGTCAAAAAAAATTCAGCAGCCATGAATAATACTCCTTTCTTGAATGCACGGGATGTTGGTTTGATCATTATTTGCAAAATTACTATTGGGTTTCCAAGCTTTTGGGCCAGCAAATTGACACTGTGATCTATATTTCACATGACATGAACTACATGGACACCTGTACCAGTATGACATTTATTCATATGTCAAAAAATGGGATTTTCAACTCGTAAAAAAGAAATACAGTCACCCACACATGCTTACATATTTCAAATTATGCACTACACAGATCATCCAAGGACATAATAGATCATTCACAGGAAAGCCTTGCATTCCTGGAGCTGGAGCAAGACTTCAAGACAATATGTCTGATCAACTTCTCCACAGTGCAATTGTAACTCTAGAGTGGAAATGCTCCATAATAGAGTAGAATTGGCTTAGTGGAGTAGAGCAGTCCTAAACAAAGTCTAAATATTACAAGCAACTGAATAAATAAAAATCAGCGTGGGCAATGAGTTTTCCTAATTTGTACTGTCGAAACCAGAAACAGGGGGCGTGTTTGGAAGCGTGGCCCAGCAGCCCGGCTGCACTCCTAGGCTGCAACGCTCGTGTTTGGGGCCACTGGCCCGCTTCGGAGCCTGGCCGCCGCGGTGCAAAAGGGGCAGCTCCTCCTGGCTGTGGGGAAACGAAGCTAGGGTTCGTTTTTTGGGGGCGCAGCTGTGAGCAGCGCAAGGCAGGCGATTCAGAGGCGATTTGGCGTGGCGGCGGGTGGCTCGCGTGGGAAGGGGGAAACTCCGCGGGCCCTCCCCACCGGCGAAATCTGCCGCCTTTATAAGCGGCCGTTGGCGCTGTGTCTCCTTCCTTCGTCTCCGTGATCTTGGCCCTCCCTCTACCCACGTGAGAGACCGACGGCGGTGGTGAGCTGGTGTCCATCGCGGCGCTGTCTCCATTCCCCTGCCTTGGATCTGCTTTGACGCGGCGCCGTCTTCTTCCATCTTATGTTGCTGCAGTGGTGCGGTTCCTATTCCCCCGGACGGATCTGCTTCCTCTACCTCCAGATCTGCTTCCTCTTCCTCGCCGGTTCTTCTTCTTCTCGCACATGCACCGCTCCTTTGCTCCGATGACCACCCCGAGGTGAAATTGACCCCCAATCCCCCCTCTCTCTTGATGGCGATGATGCTAGGGTTTGTTATCGTAGTTGTAGTTCATTGTTCGTTCGTTTATTCTCAGTACAAGCTGCTGTTTCATGATGGATTAGGGTTTCATTTGTTAGGGAATTGATGCTTGTTGTTACAGTAGCTTGTTGTACCTTATGATGCCCTACCCGTTTACTGTCCATTTTGCACCTGATGCGTTTCATGGTTGTGATGGTTGCCTGGATTGCCCTGTATTTTTTTTCTTGCTGTCGATGATGTTGTCCGAGGCGCTTTGGAGGCATGTTTTTACATGCAACCATGCTAAATATGCTTCTTTAATCATTGTGCAAACATGTTGAAGCCAGGCAGGGTATGATGATATGAGTTCCTATTTCATTGTTATATGCATGTATATGGATCCCTCTGATAGCCGTGAGATGATGTGTAAACAAGAAGCTGCCATGGTTGTTGTCATGGTTTCCTTTGTTACCACTAGGCTAAAAAGGAAAATGCCTGAATCTAAATCTGAACCTGACCCTCTAGTGTATGCACTTAGAGATGAAGCTGAGCAGCACAAGCAACAGACCCTTAATGCTATCTATAACTCCACTAATGGAGAGTGTCTATCCATGCTTAGGATGACTAGAGCTCCCTTTTTTTGCTTTATGCAATCTTTTTAGAGATAGGAGCCTTGTATCTGAAAGGGAAGGATGCACAGTAGAGGAGCAGGTTGCAATGTTCCTTCCTGCGGTTGGCCACAACCAAAGGTTTAGCGTTGTCCACCAGTCATTTAGGAGGTCCATAGAGATAGTCCATAGGCACTTCCACCAGGTCTTGTATGTTGTTGGTGAACTTAGGAATGGAATGATCAAGCCTCCTAGCATTGCCATTCACCCAAAGGTACTTGGAAGCCATAGATGGAATCCATTCTTCAAGGTAATTATGAAGCACATGTTCTTGCATTAGGTAGATGTGCATATTCACATGTACTGCTATCTCACTTCCATGGTTTTTAGGACTGCATTGGTGCCATTGATGGCACACATGTGTTGACAAGGGTGCCTAGACACATGCAAGCTGCTTTCAGGGGTAGGAAACACAACTCCACATAAAATGTCATGGCTGCTGTGGACTTTGACCTCAAGTTCACATATGTCCTTGATGGCTAGGAGGGCTCTGCCCATGATGCACTTATCCTGGCTGATGCCATTGAGAGGGATGATGGGTTCACTGTCCCACCAGGTAACTGCACTACCTAGTCAATGCACTTATGTCCTTACCATTGACACACACACTCATAGTAGATGTCCAATTGTTGGTAAATTCTACCTGGTAGATGCTAGTTATGCATGCCGCAGTGGCTTTCTACCCCCTCTATAGGGGGGTCAGGTACCACTTGACTGAGCATGGGAACAGAAACCACCCAACCAATGCAAGGAAGCTTTTCAACCTAAGACACTCATCACTAAGGGTCACTATGGAGAGGGCTTTTGGTGTTTTGAAGAACATGTTTCGTATCCTAGACAACAAGCCCATCCACCCATACAAGACACAAGTGAAACTTGTATTGGCCTGTTGTATTCTGCACAATTGAATCCTAGGTTTTGGCATTGACCAAGTAGTGCCAGCTGAGGAGGGTTTCACTGGCACCCAACCTGACCCACTTGACACCCTGCCTTTTAGTGAAAGCCAGTCTCAAGAATCCAATGCCATGGCTCTTAGGAGGGATGCCATCTGCAATGCTATGTGGGAAGGGAGGGGTACCTCTAGGATCTGATCATGCATTAACTATGTTCTTGAGTTTAGTTTGATTACCCTGCTATGGAACTCATGCTTGTGTAATTGTTGTGTAATAATTTGTGGGACATGGCTGAGACCAAGATGTATTTGTCTTAATTGTTTCATGTTGTCTCAATGTTGATGGTTTGCTCAATTATGTGTCTTATTAAGTGCTCTGTGACCGTGAGACACATCCATACTATCCTTGCACCATACATGGAATATGGTGCTAGGACTACATGAGTGTGTCCCATGTCACAAATTATGTATTAGTTGTTTCATGTTAATCATTCTAATGTTATTGTACAACTATTTACTTGGGACCAATATAGGATGGCTTCACTCCCTGTTGATGTGCTTGGAGGTCAGGGGGGTTTGTGGCTGCTGCTGATGTAATGAATGGGTTGGTGGGGGGTGGTCTAGCTGGTGCTGTTGTAGCTGGTGCAAGTGCTGCTATTGCAGGAGCAGCTGATGGTGCTGCTACTGGGGGTGCTAGGGCCATGAGGTGGAACAACAACACCTCTGGTTTGTTCTTAGAAGGATGGCTTAGCTTGTTAGTGATGGTAGTAGACCTGACAAGGTCTTCGAGGACAAAGATGTTAACTGTGGCCAAAGCACTTAAGGAGTACAGTGGGGAGGCAGTGAGCCCAACTCAGGTGTACAATCATATGAGGAAATAGAGGCAGAAGTGGTTTAGGATCTGTAAGCTGAAAGATCTTAGTAGTGCCTTATGGGATAGTGATGTCAATGCTATCATGCTTGAGGGGGAGCACTACATAGGCCACTGCAAGGTAGATCTGTGTTTTCTTTCCTCTTTCCTCCATGCACCTATAACTTTCTATTAGTTGCCTATAAATGTACCCCCCTACTGCAGGACCATCCTAAAGATGCAAAATATCTAAATTGCCCTATAAGGTTCTACACAGAGATGGAGTTCATCTTTGGCCATGCCATGGCCACTGGTAGGTTTGCACAAGGGTCTGGTGAAGCCCTAGGGGTGAACTAGGCAGATAGTGTTGCTGCTAAGGCTAAGGGTACTCCCTTTGCCAATGTCCCTCCTGGCAAGACCCAAACAGAGGCTGGAGAAGGCAGCAAGGCCATAGAGCTGCTGTCCTCAGTTGTGGGTGGAAAGAGAAAGAGAGGCAAGTTTAGTGAGGATAAGATGCTTATTTTAACAAATATGTCTGATGCTGTCAACAATGTTGCCAATGCTCTTAGGGAGACTAGACCAGCTCATGTTGATGCTAACCTATACCTTACTGTGATGGAGATGCCTAGCTTTACTGAGGAGGCAATGATAGTTGCCTACACCTACCTGCTAGACAACAAGGCCCAAGGTAGGGGCTTTGTTGGCATGAGTGACAGCCATAGGGACATTTGGCTTAGGAACTACCTAGCCAAGAACTACTACATGTAGTTCCACTACATGCTGGGTTGCATGGCCAATGAGGGGGTTGACTGTTGAGATGTATAGTTCCTCCACCTCCCTCATCCACTCTCTCTTCTTTTGACTACAGTTGAGCACACTTTGCTGTAGGTATTTTATGCAGGTTACTTGGCTGACTCACACCTATCCTTTTGGAGCCCTAAACTATTGGGCAGAACATATTGTTGTAAGGCACTATTTGTAGCCTCTGTTGGCTACTTTATTTGAGACCAGTTGTTGTTTATTCTCTTACTTCTGAACTATTGGTTTTGTTTCTTTGGATTGGTGGCAGCTGTGGGAAATTTAAATGGCCTATGATGCAAACATTTACATGAGGTGGCTGTCCTGTTTACTTGATTCTTGTTCTTTGTCATGTATGTCATCAAACCCATGTGACACGTCCATTCCCTAGCAACAGCACCTTCTTTCTTATGCTGATGGCAGTGAATGGACGTGCACAAGAGTTTCATGGCAGCCATGACCTTGGGTTTGCACTTGTTTGGATCTTCTGTTGCCTGCAGTTTTTACCTTGCTATTCTACTGGCTTTTTATTTGTATGGTAGACACCAATGAATTAACTAATGAATTACACCACTAGATTCTAAAGCTGAGGCCAATGTTTTTTAAAATGCTTGTGATGTCATAATTGTTGCTTTGAACTTGATGATGCTGGTCATCAGTGAGGGACTTGAGATCAATGATTTGTTTCATCCCAAACCGTAGATCTTCAAGATTCACACTCATGGCAAGTTTCATTACTTACATTTGACTGAGGCTAAACCACTCTTTGATTTCACAGAAATGATCCCTTGCTATGTGGTTTTCAACCGGAAGAAACCTAGGATTAATATGACTTGGCATGACTGCAGTGAACAAGTGCTTGGGTTCAAAAATGGTATATACAAGAAGTATAATAGCTATGAGCAGGCTGTTATAGATTTTAATGCATCAGTTGGAGCACTGACAGCACCCCCTAAGCTGTGCCAATCTAAAACTTGTGCCACCATGGCTCCTGTTGATGGTAAGGTTGTTTCTTGGAAGAATGTGACCATTCTGACTCTATTGGTGCTGGTATTTGGTCTTGTGTTCAAGCTGTCGCTGTGCAGCCACTGTAAGTGATGGTATTAGGTTGATGATGACATGATGTAAGGCTAATTAGCTAGCTCCATGTGCTGTTGTTTTTTCTTATCCATTCCTCAAACCTATTACAATCTGTTCATTTCCTTTGCAAACTTGAGATGGTGGTTCCTGTCTTTAGTTTCTGTTCTCTGTTCCCACTTTCGTTTTTTGCTTCTAATTACATGGAGCTGGCAATGGTTGCAAATGATGTATTTATGAGGTCTGAGGCCTATTAGTCATATGCTTAATTTATCTTAAGTGTTGTTATTGTATTGGAACTCAATTTTATATTGCAATCAAGCTCTGCTCATGGCTGTAATATATTTCCATTCTAGTTGCCATTGTCTGGAGTAGTGCTAGAAATAAATTTGTTTGAGTTCTTAATAATTTATCACTTTGTCTCGTGCTACATGGGTTTGTTTTGTTTACTGTGTTGTTTCTGCTGGCTTTTTGTCACTTCTGGTGACCCAAGTGTGACCTCTGTGTTAGTGGTGATCTCACCAGCTCGGCCCAACAGTCGAGTTAGGCCTTGACCTCGTGCCCTGACGGGGCGCCCAACCCTACATGGTTGGTGGGCCCCCGTCACACTGCGCTATAAAGAGAGGTGGGGGCCGGTGGCTCTCTTCACGAGGTTGACCGAGCTACAGTCCCCACCGATAAAACCCTAACACCGATCTAGAGAGGGTGCACAGCCAGTGACAGGAAGCACCACCACGAGGTTCGCCGCCACCACTGTTCCGCACCAACGACCGCTACATCACCCAACGCCCTCTGGCAACATCGCCGACGTGATGGATGGCTCCAGCAGCTCCACCAAACCCTCCGACGGTCAGAGACCACTACCCCTCTCCTTTCTTCTCCATCTAGATCTCGTAGTTCATGTTCTAGGGTTTTGTTCATCATGTTTTAGTCAAGTTGTACCCGCTAGATCTATGCCTAGTTGATCCTACAATTTCTATCAATGGTATCAGTCGAGCCTAATATGGGCATAGATCTAGGTTTTGGGGTAGAAAACAAGAAGAAATTAGAAGGAGGTGATTTAATTTTTGATCTAGATGTAACCGTAACCCTAAAGGCGAAAGGATGGAGAAGGGGAGGAACCTACCTAGGTTTTCTTGCCTCCGTCGACACTGCCATTTGCGCGGGAAGAAGACAGCACTGCCGCTTTACCGGGGCGCGGGAAGGGGGCCGCCGGAGGGCGTGGCCTCGTCGCCGCCTACCGGGATTGGGCTTAGGGCACCTCAGTAAGACAGCTCGACGGCAGCGCGTTCACCCTCGGGTGAACGCACGTGTCGGCGAGGGGACCTGCGGTGGCGCCGTTGACCTCCTTCCTCTGGCTGCGCTGCGGGTGGCCGCCATCACTGCTCTGCTTCACGCTGAGAGAGGGAGAGGGAAGAAAATGGACTAGGGTTAAAGGGGAGGCGCGGCCGGGGCGGGTTTTTGTGCCGCCAATTCGCGCAGATGGCCGTCGATCACGATCCGATGGTCGGCAGCGTCTAAGGTCGGATTGAGCCTAGGCGGGGAAGTAAATTCCTGGCCCAGGCCCAGGTTACCGCCTGGGCGTGGGGAGCGCGCGCTCGAGTTGGGCCTGGACTGCGCTGGAGCTGTGCTGGGCCGCGTGCGCGCTGTTGGGCTACGGTTGTCGCAATGGGCCGCGCTACACTGTATTCACTGTTTTAAGTTTTTATTTAATTTTAAGAAGCAATTTGATGATTTTCGCTAAGTTTTGATGATCAATCCCTGTCAAATTTGAACCAATGGAATAATTGTTTTTAGAGAGTAGAAAAGTACAATAAAATGCTTCTGAAAAGTACATAAATTAATTTTCTTGTTTCCGCTGCGAATGATGATGTTTATGATCTTGTAATTAAATTCGAACCAATGGGAGAATTTTATTTTGAGGAGTAGTTATAATTTTCAGTAAATTTCTGATTTTGCTATTTTCTGACCAAAGTTGTTGATAACAATATTATAAATGTTTGATTTATGAGTTTATTCATTAATTCTATTTTCTGCCCAACGGTGATGTAGAATTAATGTAGAAGAAGTTGTATGTTTTAATTTTGACCAACGTTAAATTAAATAATGCAATCATTATGTTATGTTTTCTCACTTTGTCTAACGGTGTTTTTCAGGACTAAACCCAATGACATTTATCTTGCACATACCGCCTCTTGAAGGGGCAACTATAGGGTATGGCAAGAGAAGTATGAACTAGCACTTGCGCTGTTTGAGAATGACGTAGCGCTTACCTCCCTGTGTTCTACTGAGCCAGTGGACCCCGTGAGGGAAGAAAATGAGTCTGATGCTGATTTCACTGCTCGCCAGCGAGATCATGCAGAAGTGCGGATGAAATATGATCTCGAATGCAAGAAATGGGACATTTCAAACCGTAAGTGCTTGATGGTGGCTAAGTCCACAATTTCAGATGAGATAAGGGGGTCTATTCTGGATTGTGACACCGCCATAGAATACCTCAAGAAAGTGGAGAGTCAGTTTACTGGCTCTTCAAAGGCTTATACCAGTACTTTGATCAAAAAATTGTTCAATGAGAAATACACTGGTGGCGGTATCAGAGAGCACATAATAAAGATGAGCAACACAGCTATGAAGCTGAAGCCAATGGATTTGGGGATCAAGGATGAGTTCCTTATTCATTTGGTTTTTGCTTTCTTACCCAAAGAATATGAAACTTTTGTTGTGAACTACAACATGCACCCCGATAAATGGGATATAGAGAAGCTCATTGCAATGTGTGTTCAAGAAGAAGAGAAGCTGAAAAGCTCATAGGGTGACTCTGCTAACCTTGAGAAGGACAACAAGAAAAAGAACTTCAATAAAAATGCCAAACCTCAAGGGAAAGCCCCTCAGAATGACCACCATCCGAAGAACAACAATGCTCAAGTTGAGAAGGATCAGTGTAAATGGTGCAAAAAGCATAGACATTACCAGAGGGACTGTTCAGACTTCCTGAAGAGCCTTCTGAAGAGAGGTGAGGATTTCATTACACTCATAGATGAATCCTTGTATTTAAGTTATGCAAAATCTACTTGGTGGATTGATTTAGGTACAATTGTTTATGTTGTAAATTCATTATAGGGATTCCATACGAGGAGGACCCTACAAAGAGGAGAAAGAAGAATTAAAGTTGTAAATGGAGTTGAAGCTGAAGTTGAAGCCATTGGAGATCTATCTCTAGAATTAGATGATGATTTTAGACTGCAGCTTTCAGATATTCTTTTTGTACCCTCTTTGCATAGAAACTTGATAAGTGTTTCAAGATTAGATGATGATGGATATGATTGACATTTTGGTAATGGCAAATGTCAGATTGTGATTAATAATAAGTGTGTTAGTCTTGCCTTCCGACAAGATAAGCTTTATTTATTATAACTTTTTGAGAATGTGAATGATGTGAGCACTGAGAATGAGAATGCTTCCTCATCTATGAATGAAACAAATAAGCGGAAGAGAGTGAATGATGTATCTTTGAAATTATGGCACTGTCGTTTAGGCCAAATTTCGAAGGGGAGAATAGAGCGATTGATTAAGAAATCAATTCTTTAGCTTTTAGAATTTTTAGATTTAGAGCAATGCATTGATTGCATAAAAGAAAAGTATGTTAAGAAAATAAAGAAAGATGTCAAACGTAGTGCATGAATTTTAGAAATAGTTCACACAGACATCTGTGGTCTTTTTCCTGTGAAGAGTGTGGATGGTTATGATTCATTTATAACATTCACAGATGACTATTCTCGTTTTGGCTATATTTATCCAATTAAGGAAAGATCGGAAGCAATGGATAAATTTAAGATATTTAAGGCTCAAGTAGAAAAACAGCATAACTTAAAGATTAAGGTAGTAATGTCCAA